GGACAAGCGCATGTACTGGCTCAAGCGGCCCCACCAGTGCGACGCGGGCGCGGGCGGGCGGCGCGGGGGCGCCGGGGCCCCCCGCGAGTGGAACGTCGCCTACGCGCTGGGCGGCGCGGCCGGCGACGACGACGACGACGAGGACGCCGGCGGCGGCCCCGGGTCCCGCGCGGCCGCCGAGGACACGCGGGACTCGGAGCTGTCGGAGCTGTCGGACACCGATCCCCTCTCGGAGCCCGACCCGGCCGCGCGTGACGCCGCCAGCCCCCTCCGGGACGGGGCGCCGGCGGCGCGGGCCACCCCGGGGCCAGGGGCTCGCGGGGGCCGCTGCCAGGAGTGGAGGCCGGTACCCGGCCCTCCTCTGGGACAGGGCGCGGACGCCCCCGCGCAGCGGGAAGTGGAGGAGGAGAGGGTCCCCTCCAAGCTCCGCGTGGACGGGGAGCCCAAGACCGGCGTTAGGCGCAGGCGGAAGGGCGCCGGAAGGCACTGGGTTCCCGAGGCCCGGGCCAGCGTCCTGAGAGGCATTCAGGACCCTTGGCCAGTCCCTCCAGTCCGAGTGGCCCCTGCAGATGGAGTGAGAGGAGCCCCTTCCGGCCGGGCCGCCAAGACCCCCGAGAGCAGACCGCTGGGGGAGACTCGCGCGGGCTACTGTCCGTCTGAGGACAGTGACATCAACATTACCAGCGAGGAAGAGGACCGCAAGGAGCAGCCTCTCCCCGGCCCCAGAGAGAAGGAAAACGGTAGCCGTGCCCCCTGGGCTCCCCTGGAGAGCCGGACTGCGCCACCAGGGGGCCTTTGCTGCTACATCTGCGGGGCAGCCCTGTCCCCAGCCTCGCAACACCAGATCCACGTGCAGAAGCAGGAGAAGCTGGCGCAGGCCCCCTTCTTCCCGTTCCTGTGGCTGCACAGCCCGCCCCCCGGGGCGCAGCCCGTCAGCGAGGGCGGCAGCACCCTGGTGTGCCCATGCTGCTTCTCCTCCCTCATGCAGCAGTGGCAGAGCTTCGAGCTGGCCAGCGTGCCCGTCCTGCAGCGGCTGTACGTGGTGCCCCTGAACAGCCACGCCCCCGGCATGGCCTCCAAGGGCCGGCGCCTGCCCCGGGAAGAGGGCCTGCCCGCTGGGGCCCTGCCAGAGGCCTGCTACCTCTGTGGGGAGGACTGTACCCAGGACTCCCGGACCGTGGTCTCCAGGATCCTCAATGGCAATGCCCGGGGCTCCATGCACTTCCCCTTTCTCAGCCTCCTGCCCTGCCCCCCCAATGCCCGGGGCCCCAACAAGCGCTGTGAGGTTCGCAGCTGCCCCAAGTGCTTCAGCGTCCTGGAGGACGTCTGGGCCCTGTACCGGGCCTGCCAGAACGAGGAGCTCATCACCTCTGTGCAGGGCTTCCTGGGCAGGTACCACCAGGCCTTCTCTGCCTCTGACCACGCCCTCACCGAGCCGCCCGCGTCCGCCCAGGGCAGCCCGGCATCCGTCTGCTATACCTGCGGGGCTGAGCTGGGCCCCGGGAAGGAGTTCCAGCTCAATGTGAACCCCTCCGGCCGCTCTGGCGAGAAGGAGCCCTTCTTTCCCTTCCTCACAGTCTACCCGCCTGCCCCGCGTGCCAGGCCTGCCGATGCCACCGGCCTGGTGGCCACCTGCGTGCTCTGCTACCACGACCTGCTGGGCCAGTGGCTGCAGCACGAGGCCCGCAGCGTGCACCACGCCGTCAGCGCCTGGTCCCGGCAATACCAAGTGGAGACGTTCGTGTGCTTCTTCTGCCAGCAGGAGAAGAAACGCTGTCTTGGGCTGAAGGCCGTGCGGGTGGCCCGGCTGCCCTTGTTTCTCTACACCTTGCGAGCGAGCCACAGCCTGCTAGTGGACGACGGGCGGCAGCTGATCATTGGTGCCTGCCTCGAGTGCGGGACCCTGGTGTGTGCTGGCCATGGGCTCGCCCGCCAGGGACCCACGGGCTGGAGCTCCCCGGTGGCAGCTGTGATGCAGGTAAGGCGTCTTCGCATCTCATCCTCTGAAATCCGAACTGGGAAGGAAGTGATGTCCCTCTCTGTTCCTCTGCTGGGGAGGACTTCACAGTGATTCTGTGCAGTGCGTTCCAGCAGGAGGTGCACTTCTTGGGACCCTGGGCTGGGGCTTGGTGAGTGTGTTGGCCCGGCTGGGACCGGAGGCTTGTGGCGGGTCAGAGGAGCTGGGGGCCAGGAGAGGACTTGTGGAACAGGGCACAGCAGAAAGCAGCAGGCATGGGCCCGAACTTGAGTGTGTTTGTGGCAGAATCTATCAAACAGAGGAAGTGTGGGGCATGTCTGTCATCCGCCTGATAACATTGGTAATTAGTCCAGCCCTGCAGGTCAGCAAGAGGTCTCTGTACTTGCCCAGTTTGAAACACATCAGAGGTGGAAGTTCCTCTCCACTCCAGCTCCCGAGTGCAGCTTAGCTTTTCCAGAGTTTTCCACCCAAGTTCACACTTCTCCTTTGAGATTCTCTGGTTGCTTAACTGCAGATAAAAACAGATTTCCAGATGCAGGGGTTTGGGACCCAGGGGACAGTAGCCTAACCAGACTTTTTCCCCCAGTGGGAAGAGTCTTTCTTCTCTGCAAGTCAGCTGTGCAGGAGGAGGGCGGGAGGTCTGGCATTTGCCTTGTTTATATGACGCCTGCCTGCATGCTGCCTGCCTGCCCAGGAGAAGCCAGACGGGACTCCGTTCATTTTGGAGCCGGTTTTGCAAAGGCTGAAGCAGGGCCTGCCCCCCGAGGGTCTGGGGAAGTAGACATCTGTGAGTTGTGATCACCATCCTGGTCACTGGGGCCATGAATCCTAATTCCCACCAAAGACACACCAGCCTGTTTTAACCAGGCTCCTGTAGTGGTAGCTGCTGGCAAGGGGCCAGCAGAAGGATGTGTGAATGGGGAAGGACATCTCTGGCCTGTCCGCAAATGGTTGTTCCATCCGTTTGAGAGGTTTCTGATCCTGTCTCCCATGTGTACATGTGTGTGCGTGTATGTGGGGATTCTGCCGTTTGGTGTTTCCTCCCTGTGGTTGCATCTATAAAGTCCATGCTTGCCTCCATAGGTCCACGGCCCCTTGCCTTTAGGCTCTGCCCTGGTTCCTTCTCTTTCGATGTCCCCTCTGGACCTCACAAGCTGTTTTGGGAGGCTTTGGTGAGATAGCCTCTCTTTCTAAATGGACATGCGCGTCACTGCGGGCTCGGCATGCTGAACCCCTTCCTGGGGCATGTGGCAGTCTGGCCGGGGGATCTGCTGCTGGGATTCTGAAGAACCACAGTTTCCAGAAGGGCCAGAACCGGGAGGCAAGCCTGGCTTTGGGGGAGGATAGACCTTGGTTCTGATCCTGCCCTTTCTCTTAGTGACTGAGTGCCTAGGAGTATGTGTTTTATCTTCCCTGAACTCATTTCCTTGGCCTGGGAGTGGAAATGTAGATCTCCTGACTTGAAGGGCTGGATGAGAATGAACTGGGGCATTTGGATGCTTGAAATCCTGGGACAGAATCTCTTAGGGTCAGGTAAGTTCTCGGCAAGGCTCCCAATTTGCAGGGTGGGTATGGATTTTAGGCTTGGTGATGGTGCCCGGTGGGGTAATGTCAGGCCTCGGTGTTTTCTGTGGAGCATCTGAACTGTGGTGACTTTCCTCCTGTGGATTAGCTTACTCCTCAGGAGGTGATGAGATGCCAGCGGTGGCCTCAGCTGATAGGGACGTCAGGAAACCACAGAAGCTGCAGTTCCCAGCCCAGCGGGGGGGCAGGCCGGAGCCGAGGGTAGCCCCGTGTGGATGAAAACGCAAGCTGGTGTTGGCCCAGATGTGCACAGCATGCATTTGGGAAGGCTGCATGTCACCCAACTTGGGCACCTTTTCTAAAGCAAGTTGTTTTCTTTGCTTCTGACCGTGGCCCTATGTGGCCCTATTAGTCCCACTTCACAGATAAGGAAATTGAGACTTAGAGAAGTGAAATGACCTGGGTGCCTGTCATACGGCCAGCAGGTGGCTGAGGTGGTCTTGAACCCAGGTCTTCTGATCGCTGAGCCCTTTTGTATTGAGTGCTGGACAGAGATGGAGCCTTGGGAGATGGGCAGGATTTGCTGGGGGGCGAGGGGTAAGGTGGGATGAAGCGGGCAAGGCTGGAGTGCATGAGAGGCCTTGAGCCCAGGAGGAGGAGGCCAGGCTAGAGTCGAAGGCCCTGGAGAGCAGTAAAATGTTCTGCAAAGAAGGAAGGCGTGCAGTAGCCTGGGCAGGGACCCAGCCCCGGTGGTGGGCGAGACCATGCTGGTGTGGTCTCGGAGGCGGCAGTGTGGGTCTCAGGCTGCACAGCAGAGCGAAGGAGAACCCCCATCTGGAAGGCCGCCTGACTGATGGTCAGGAGAATGCCAGAAATGCAGCCTTCTGCCCGCCCGCCCTCCCATTCATTCAGCAAATATTTATGGAGCGCCTACTCTGAGCCAGGCACTGTTCCAGATGCTGAGGAACTGATGGCAAGTGCGGAGCCCTCGGTGTTGGGGGCGGGGGGATGAAGGGCCGGCTTAGAACACAGCTCTCTGCAGAGGGGGAAGCCAAGCAGGATGAGGCTGGGGCCAAGCACCAGGGTGGCATGGGGAATGGGCACACGAGGCAGGAGCCAAAGACAAATGAAGGAGTTCCCGGCAGGGGCTGCCAGGGGCAGGGCAGCCTCGGAGCCACAGGAGAAGGGTCTCCTGAGGCCACCTCCTGGCTCCGTGATTCTTACATACATACTCTGTCTCTCTGTGGTGTGTGGTTTGAGGATTTGGGAGGGGTGGCTAGGGACATTGGAAGGTGGCCACAGGGAAGCCACTTAGCGGGGACAGTGTGTTCCAGGACCTCATCTTTACCACACCAGTTGTTTCCTAATAAGTGTTCATTCATTAGTGAACACTTGAAATACTAAGCAAAAAAACATAGGAGAGAGGAGGTGTCCCAGGAGCCCTCTGGATTGTGTTGGTGGCTTTTCTCTCCAGCCGAGTTCCTCGCCCCAGGAGAGCACCTGCTCTGTAGCCACATGTCTGAGCTGGCTGCCTGGGTGGGGCTGTGCCGGAGCTGGGCTGGAAAGGCTGCAGCTCATTCTTCTGGGGGCCTGGCACCCCTTCCTACAGGAGGAACCCCAGCACATGGGAGGCTCTGTGAAGCCATGGAAAGACCCTGGCTTGGCCTTAAGACAGACCTGGTTTCAGTCTTCATTCTGCTGGGAGCTGGCTGTGTGACCTTGGGTAAGATTCTTGCCCTCTCTGAGCCTCAGTTGCTGCATCTGAGAAGTGGAGATAGTCATTGCCTGGGAAGGGTCGTGATGTGAGAGCAGCTGGTGTACAGGAGGGATGTGGGATGCCTGCCTGCCTCCCTCCCTCCCTGAGGTACCCACAGGCTCTGACATCTCAGCCTCTGTCCCCCACCTTTCTGCTGGGGCCAGGGAATGGTCTTCCCTCCTGTCAGAGCTGGGGGCACAGCTGGCCAGGCTGCCAGAAACGGCATCTGGGGACATGATAATGGCAATGGTGCTTTTATGGACGCTTTCCACGTCCCACACCTCATGGGTACTCATGCTTGGAGAGACCCCATGACAACCCTCTTTTCCGAAGTATTGCTCTCCCATTTCACAGAGGAAAAAGGAAGTCCAGAGAGGTCAAGGAGTTTGCCCAGGTCATTCAGCATTGGACGTGGGAGTCTGGCTCTGGAGTCTGTGCTCCAGCCTCTATTGTGTCCTTGCCTTTCTGTCCCCTCCGGGGCTTCAGCTGTGAGGGTAGCAGTGCCCTGGAGGTGGCTGGGTCCTAATTTCCTCTCTATGTGCCTCCTCCCATGCCCAGAGCAGCTGAGAGGCAGGAGTTAGCTTGCATGGGGCAGAGGCTCAGAGAAGCCCTCCCTGGCTGGCTCTGCCGACCCCTCCTTTCTCTGCCCCGTTGATAAGTGGTGCCCTTTGTCTGTACCCCTCACGACTCTGCCCTGGTATTCAGATTTCCACCGGGACCTCCTGCTGCAGCTGGGAGAAGCCTGCCTCTCTTCCAAGATGGATCTGCAGCAGATCGATTTGCTTTCCTTGCAAGCCAGTCGGCGGGTGGGCTGCCCTTTCCTCTAGCAGCGGGGTCCGGAGGGCTCTGAGGGGTGGAGCAGCAGCTGTGTGCCTAAACCACGCCTGGCCCCTGCCTGGGACCCAGCGCAGCCCCTCCAGCGTGGCCCCCAGCCCGAACAGGTGTTGCCCCTGCGGCCACCTCTCTCCTCCCGCACTGACACAGGAGGCCTGCAGAGAGCCTCTGTCATCACTCGCCTGTCAGGGCAGCGCTCACATCTGTTTCCCAGTTTCCTGGCTCTCTGCGCCCACCAGCTCCCTGCTCTCCAGGGAGGGCCTGCCAGCGCTTCCTGCCCAGGTCCTGCCTCATGGGGCACCTGGGCAAGGTGACCGGATGAGGGGACCTTCCAGAAGGTGCTGGGGGAAGCTGCCTGGCTGGGCTGACGCTGGCACCATCTCCCTGGCCGCAGCTGGGAAGTGACCGGGCTTTGGGCCTCTCTCAAGCTCTGACGGTCTCCTCGGAGGGGAGGTCTGTGCTTTTCTTGGCGGCTTGGGAGCCATCTGCTCAGAGGATTGAACTTCCCAGACGTGCCTTGTCTTAAACCTGGAGGTGATTGGAATCAGCTGGGGCAGAAGTGGAGGCAAAGAGTCTTCATAACTCAGCGCTCCCTGGAGCAGGGGGAGGGCGGGGCCGAGGGGCAGCTGTCTTTGGTGAGGTGCAAAGCTTTCTGGTCCCTTCTGTGCTTCCATCTCCCTGGTTCCCACCCTAGGGAGGTCACCTCTGCACGGTTTGGAGGTTTCAGGCAGTTTTGCCTCACTGGCACGCTTTCTGGGCTGGGGAAGAGCCCACACCTGGAATTCAGGTCTGTCTTCTTCCCCAGGTTCAGATTCTGGTGGGGACAGTGGAGAGGGATGACACTTATGTTCCCCAGGAAGAGCATTTAGAATGTTGGCTTCTGTTT